TCAGAATGGACTTGGAGGCACCAGACAATAACAACAGAACTATTATTTGAAGAACATGTGAAGTGAGAATGTGAATAAAATATCTGGCCTTGAGTAAAAGGCACCATGAAAATTGCACGGAAAAATGTAAGGAAGATTAGCTCACATAAGCAATGAAAACACATGTGACCATGGCTCTTCTAAACACTGAGGGTGTCTGCTGGTCAGCTGTCATCTAGTAAGCTGATCCAATCAAGAGGAGCTCCTGGCTGTGACTTTGAAGAGGCTGTTTGGTAAAGAGTCTCTGTAGCCCATCAAAGCTGCTGTGGATAATCGATGGCCCAGCAAGGACATGCTGATTCTGTTCAAGGTCAAGGGACGAGAGATGGTGGCTAGTATCTGGCCAGCACTCCTGGCATTGAGGAGGTGCTGCTTACTAAGTGCAGCTAGAAGACCAAAGCAATGGCTTTCCATTTGCTTGCTTCCACCAGAACATGGCCATCCATCCTGGCAGGACAGGCCACCTGGAAGGTCTATGGGACCACGTGTGTGGGTACTGAATGGTGAGGGTGGCCCTCGGTGGTGGTCCTGTCTGGAATCACTAATTTCAGGTGTGACAACTCAGCTCATTGAGTTTAGCTGTGAAAGCCCTAACTACCCAATGGTGGGCAACTTGGCTGAGGCCAAGGCTGAGCTAATTAGTATTCTGGTATGATGGGTGTGAATATTTGCTACTGTGATGGATAATGAATCATAAATGTTACACTGCATTCCACCTCAGCAATAACTGTGCAACACCCATGGAAGCACAGACAATCAGACAATTACTCAATGGTCGGTGCCACATGGCTATGAACCTGCTCGACTGAGTCCACAAGCTCATCACCTGGCTTCACACTCACGTGGTTCACCCAGCAAACAAGAGTAAATGCTCAGCCTAAGTTCTTGAAAAAAGACCATATGACCCGTGGCCTATGGTTTAAACTGAACTGTGGTGTTAGCAAAGGTTACTGAATATACTGTGGACAGTCAAAAGAACAAACAAATCAGTCTTAAAAAATGAAGAACCGAGGTTCAGCTGTTCCTTGGCAGCAAAGACCTCAGCTTGTTTACTTTGGACAGGTCATCGCGAAAGACCAATCACTGGGGAAGGATACCATGGCTGATAAGCAAAAGGGTTGGTGAAAATGCCATGGATGGATACGTAGCTGCAGCAGTGGGCTCCAACAGGCTCATGAAGATGGTGTGGGATTGGGCAACATTAAGTCCTTAATGCACGAACTGCAGGCTTGTCAACAGGAACTAACAACAATGTGCTTTAAGCTTCAAACTTACATACAGCTAGTGGAAACATCACAGTCACCAATCAAAAAAAAAGAAAAACACTGTGTCATCTTCATCATCATGATGCTATAGAGAAACACTGGCTTGGAGCCTTAGAGACCAAGGTTCTTATCTTCTCTTTCTGCTCTTCATTTCCTCTGGAATTTTGGAAAAGTCACTTATGTTTTTCTGGGCCCTAACGTGTGCCTCTGTAATTTAAGAAATTTGTTAATGATTTTATTTACAGTTTCATTCAACAGTCAAATAACAATAAAAACAATATCCTACTGGGAGGCCAAGCATCCATTCATGAAATGGACCTTACCAAGGTCTACCCATGAATCAGCAAGTCCAACCCACCTCCATTTTGTGATTAAAAAAAAAAAAAAAACTCAGGGAAATCAAATGTGGTGACATGGGTCACAGAGAGAAGAAATGGCAGTGAGGACAGTGTCCATGTTGGTCTCCATGCATTGTGATTGACCTTCTTTGTGATGGGTCCAGAGTCTGACGTTCAGTGGACTGTATTCTCTCCTCACTTGCACCACAGCAGATGACGTGGACCTCTCCAGGCTCTACGTGGAGGTCCCTTCTGCCCTCCAAGGTGGGGCAGAGAGTTTCAAAGGGCAGGGACCCTGGGCTACTGAGGGCCTGAGCAGGAGCCACTGCACCCAAAGCCAGCTTCAAGGTGGTAAGAATAGGGCTGGCCTTGGCTCGGCTCCTGGGAGGTGACCTCTGCGCCCTCAGCATGTCCGGCCTTGCCTGGGGACTAGGGCCAGCAGACAGTAACCATGTGATGTCTGTCGGTGGGGACTTTGGGTCATAGTATCATACCTCCTGAGAGGCTGAAGACTGAGACCCACCACGTGGGCAATCAACCATTTCATTAATCAATCAGTCACACCTATGTGATTCAGCCCCAACAAAAACTCTGGGACCAAGCCTCAAGGGAGCCTCCCTGGTTGTCAGTACCCTATGCAGTTGTCACGCCTCGCTGCTGGGAGAGAATACAGATGCTAAGCCCTGTGCCTCTTCGCTTGGCTAGGCTAGCTTTACTTTGCGTCATTCTCCGTAATGAATTGTAACGGGGAATGGGGTAGCTTTTGTGAGCACGCTGAGTCTTTCCAGTGAGCATGGAGACTGAAGGTGATTTGGGGGATCCCTCCAAACTCACAGGTGGTGTCATAAGTGAGGGTGGGCTTGGAGGTGGTTCCCAGGTGATGCCTGCACACCCTGGCACCAGTGCCTCCTCACCTGTCCCCACACGGGCTGGCCTTCCTCTGTCATGCTCATCTGGGGAGAAGGGAGGGAGTGGGACATCTTGGAGCACATGGGCTTGAGTGCTCAGCAGAATTCCTGGCCCAGGGTCCTGCAAGGGTGAGGAGATAAGGGGAACCCATACCTCCTCCTCTCCTGACAATTCTGGTTTGTAAGTTCCTCCAATAAAGCCCATCCCATAAACTGCCAAAGAGGCTGTGGAGTTTGACCTTGGACCAGCTTCACAGCAGGCAGACAGCACAACTACTGTTATCGTCACTGGGTGGCTCAACTCACAGAACCGTTGCCTGGCTGACCATCTGCATGATAGTTGTGGTTGTGTGTCCGTTCCTCTCAGTGAAGGCCGCCCTCGTCTCACTGACCTTCTCCCTTCCTGGTGACGTGTCCAAAGTGACAGAATCAGTTTTGCCCTCCTCATTTCTAAGGGACATGTGGCTCTATTTCTTCTAAGACTGATTTCTTCATTCTTCTGGCAGTCCACGGTACATTCAATATTTTCCACTGACACAAGTTAAATCTGCCAGTTCTTCTGTCTTCTTTTTCATTGTCCAGCTTTTGCACGTATGTGAGCCAATTACAAAGGCCATGGTTGGGTCAGGCATGCTTTAGTCCTCAAAGTGATGTCATTGCTTTTTACCACTTTAAAGAGGTCATTTACAGATTTGTGCAGCGCAAACACATCCTTTGATTTCCTGACTGCTACTCCCATGGACGCGATTGTGGATCCCAGTTAAATGAAATCTTTGACAAACTCAATACTTTCTCCATTTATCGTGATGCTGCTTTTGGTCCAGTTCTGAGGACTTTTGTTTTCTTGATGTTGAGGTGTAATCCATACTGCAGACTGTAGTCTTTGATGTGCTTTGAAACCTCTTCATTTTAAGCAAACGAGGTTGTGTCACCTGCATATTGCAGGTTGTGAATGAGCCTTCCTGCAATCCTGATGCCACGTTCTTCTTCATATAGTCCAACTTCTCAGATTATTCACTTAACATATAGATTGGATAAGTATGGTGAAAGGATACAACCCTGACGCACACCCTTCCTCATTCTGAATCATGCAGTTACTCAGTGAATGAATGACTAAATGAATGAACACCCCTTCCATTACACCTTCTGACTTGCATTCTTTGTAGGGGGTATGTGTGTGTGTGGTGTATGGCGGTGGTGCTGAGTGACAAATTCCACACTAATGAAATTAAAAGTTCGGGATCACAATGTTCTCTTTACAAGAAAGCCACAAACTGAGAACAATGATAGTAATCTGTGAGTGTCTACACGCACACGAACAGCACAGACTCTACATCATCGGAAGATACAGCTTCACAGTTAATTCCAGTAACTGAGTGAGAAAACGGCTTGTGGGAAGTAGGGAGACATTCTACAAACCCACGTACAAAACCCTCTCATGTTGCTTCTGCTTGGGGTTTGTTGCCAATGAGTAGAATCAGACCATTACAGTCTAAGAATTATTTTTGAATAACTGGTAACATAAGTTGTCCTATGAGTGTGATTCCCAACAGTGGGGTACAGAGGGGACTGTGGTGGATGGGAGAGACCAGGGACTGTGGTCCAGGAGGAGACCAGGGTGGGGATCTGAGCGCCGAGGGACCTTGACGCCCTGGAAACACGAGCAGCCCAGCAGCCGTCCTCGGCGTGCTTCCGGGAGGCCTGCTCCCACGCTAGGTGCCCTCTGTCACACACCTGCAGCAGTGGCTACACCTTTACCTCCTACTGACACAGACCCTGCCCTTCACTGAGAAGCTGGACAGAAGAGAAATGAAAGGTTTGGAAAGGTCTTCCTGCAGTGGTCGGTGTCAGAGTCACGGACGGTGAGGGACACTGACCGAGAGGGGACAGGGAGGGCCTGTGGCTGACGGCCGGGGGGAGGGGCAGGGCTTCCCACCTTTCACCTCTCTCCTTCTCCCTCCCCTTTGCTTTCTCCTCTCCTCCTCCCTCTCTTCCCTCTCTCCCCCACCATCTTCCTCCCCTCTCTCTGTCTCTCCTCTCTCCATCTGCCTCTTTTTGATGTCTCTCTTTCTCTGTCACTCTCCGACTTCCCATTTCTCTCTGTCTCTCCATCTCTTTGTCTGTCTGTCCTCTGTCTCTCTGTCTCTCTCCCGTCCAGACACTTAAAGCTAACATTGTAGGTGACCGCTCTCTGGGAGACACTGCTCATGTGGGTGGCCCCAGGCCTGCCCGGGGCCCCTGCCACGGCCACCTCATCTGTGGCCACCAGGCACATTTCTATCCTGCAAACCACTGTCTGCTGCCCGGGACATTAGTCCTCTCTGAGCACGTTCCTGATATTTGAAAATGTGCTGAGCCCAAGCATTCTAACCAATTATCTCATGGTTTCAGTGCTTCTCATATTTCCTCTCCACCAGTTCAGTGTGGTCGGGCTGGCGGCCCTCACTCACCACTGCTTGTGGTCTGCGTCGCAATTGCAGTGGTACCGGGGGTCCGTGCAGTTCCGCTCAATGCCGCATGCGCACTTCTGGATGCCAGGGCCCGAGCCCCCCCAGTAGTAGTGCTTCTCGTTGCCTTTGCCGACCCACCAGGTGTAAGGGCTTCCATCTGCAAGAGAGGAGGGGAGCTTCAGTGCACATTGCTAAGTGAGAGGAGCTGGTCACGATCTGGAGGGAGGTACTGTGGGGACAGTGGGGAGATCCGTGGTTGACAGGGGCCGGGATGCAAGGAGTGGGGGGCAGGTGGCACACAGGTCACCTCAAGGGCCGTGAAGCTTCTCTGGAGGACACCACTATGGGGGGGGGGCACATGACACAGTGCATTTGTCAAAGCCCACAGGGCTGTCCAGCACAGACGGAACCTTGATGTGCACTGTGGACTTCAGTTCTAACAATGGGCTGATCGTGGTGCCTCTGCGAGAACAAGTGGACCACAGGGATGCAAGATGGCAACAATAGTGAACAACGGTTATTAACAGTTCGAGTCGGATGGGACTCAGAGCAACCCCTCCTTGGGTTTCCGAGGCAGTATCAGATTGCCCAACCTTCCTTCCAAGGAGTGGCTGGTGGGTTTGAACTGCCAGCCTCTGGTTACCAGTCAAGTGCCTTAGGCACTACGCTACCAGAGCTCCCTAACACCAGTTAATACTAGTTAATCACAGCTGCAGAGAAGGTGTCTGGGAACACACTGCACTATCTGCTCAAATTGTGGGTAAACAAAACACTGCTTTAAAAGGTATGGTCCAAACAAATTAGCGGGAACTGTGAGCCCAAGCTTCCCCCGGCCCGGGATATTCACTTTCTCCTGGGAGGAGCTTTGCCCTGCTGCCCTCTGTAATTTGGCCAGTTGCCAGTAAAGTGCTGGAGAAGCCCCGGGCTGACGTGCGACACACAGCTTGCTCACGTCTCGTCCACTTTCCTGTAACGGAGCATCTCACAGACTGCAGGATGCTAGACCTAAACATGAACTTCCATGCTTTCTTACTAAAAACCAAAATAAAACTCCAAACCCACTGCCATGGAGGCTATTCTGACTCATAATACCCCTAGAGGACAGAGTGGACCTGCCCACAGGGTCTCCCAGGCTGTCAGTCTCCACAGAAGCAAAGCCCAAACCACACCCACTGTGTGGAGTCCATTCTGACCCACAGCGCCCCTAGAGGACAGGGTGGAACTGCCCACAGGGTCTCCAAGGCTGTCAATCTTCACAGAAGCAATGCCCAAACCACACCCACTGCCTGGAGTCTATTCCGACTCACAGCGCCCCTAGAGGACAGAGTGGAACTGTCTGCCATATCTTTCTCCTGCATGAGAATGGCACACATTTTGTTTAGCAGCCAGATGCTTTAACCACTGCACCACCAGAGCGCCTGGAAGCAACATAGCATCCATTTCATTGTGAACATTGATAGTGATTTGCCCCAACCACAGGGGTGGCGTGTGGTGCTGTGTCCTTTACACAAAACACCAGGAAACTGAATGTCTCCTTATCTCACCTTTAGCAGGAGATGAGAAATACCCTTCTCTCAGCCATGGCCCCATGCACAGCCCCCAGCCGTCTGTCAAGGGGGGCTTGTCTGCTGCTGTGATGTTGGACAGGTTTCAGCAGAGCTTCCAGACTAACACAGACTAGAAAGACAGGCCTGGTGACCCATATGTGGAAATCAGCCAGTGAAATCCCGGTTCAAAAGGGTCGCGCCTGCCACTGACTGTGGGGATGGGGCAGGCCTAGGCAGTGTTGTGTTACTGTGTGTGTGTGTGTCACATTTGGGGTTCCTCAGTGGGAGTGACAACAGCAACAGCACCGCGGAGAAGAGAGAGGCCCCTCCCAGCCGCCCCTGTGTGGCGTGCTTGCAGCTCAGGTCAGGACACTCAGTGTCTGGGTGTTTGGGGAGTGTGTCCTTCGTGGGCTCTAGGCATGAACTGATCACTAACACCACCACCACAGAGAAGAGAGAGGCCCATCCCAGCTGCACCTCCAGGGGGTGCCTGCAGCTCCGGTCGGGACGTTCCGTTTCCAAGTATTTGTGGGGGGGGTGCTCTGCAGCCTTCAGTGTGCTGTGGGGACCAACGGCTATCAGACCAGAATGGGACTCAGGGAGGAGATCCCAGGACTGATCCTTGAGGCAAGGTGAGTGGTGACACCAGTGACCAGTAAGACTAGATCCGAGTTCTTGGTGCTGCTGTAGCACAAACACCACAGGAGTGTGGCTTTCAAGAGCAGACAGTTATTTTCTCAAACTTGTACTGAAAGTCCAAATCGGGGTCTGGGCCATGTCCATTCCTCCCATCGGGCACTGGCTTCCTGAGTGGATGACCCTCACACGACCTCTCTGGTCCCCATGTGAGCCTGTCTCTTCTGCTGTTTGTATAGGTCAGTAGTGGTGAGGTTTGGAACTCACACTGTGCTAGTTAAGGTTGTGGGTCTACGTGGCTGGGCCTGGTTCTGAGTGGCTGGGCAGCAGGATGGAGTTATTCCCCAAGATGAGATTGTAATCACCCCTGCTGTGGGCAGCTGAGTAGTTGCCTTTGGGATGTGGTCGGCTTCCAGTACATAAGGAGAGGCCTTGGGAAAGGTCACTAGCTTTGGCCACATCTGGACCCTGCATTTGGCTGAGTTTCCATCTCAGTGGCCTGCCATGTTGCCTGCTGACCACGGAGCTGTTCCTGGACTTGAACCAGTGGCCTGCTGTGTGGCTTCACAGTTTTGTGACTGTGCCATTTGACTTGTAGACCTGGGCTGTCAGGCCCAGCAGCCAGCAGCTGTGCTCGTCAGAAAAGGCCTCCAGCTCCAGTGGGCCTCCTGGCAGACCTGAAGCCCCAGGTCGAGGGGCCTTCACCCGGCCCCTAAAGCTGGCACTGTGCGTCAGCCGTCTAGCCTCCTGAACTGCAAGAGAATAATCCCCATTTGTTGAACCATCCATCTGGGTGTGCCTGTTCCAGCAGCACTGGGAACCAAGACAGAGCCTACATTGGCGTGGCCTCATTAAAGTAAGACAGTAACTCCCGCTACCGGGCAGGCTCATGTCTGCAGGTACAAAGCCCAGATGTCAGCACATATTATGAGGGATAACATTCCACCTGTCACCCCAGTGTTCCAGGGTCTCCCCAGCCACCATCTTTCCTCAGGCCACCATCCTTTAGTGTCCTTGTGTCATGGATGTGCCCAGGTGGGGTGACACAGACCTGCTGTGACTTCATCCTCCTGCCTGGGAAAGCCAGTTATGTGGCTGAAAACCTCCTTCCTCTTGTCCCCACATCCGCCGAATGGCAGAATGCCAATAGGAAAAACCCATGCTGGGGAGAAGAGCAAATTGCAGCCTTTGCTATTAGTGTTGGCGAATTTGGCTAAGTCGCTGTAACTAACACGACTGACTAGGCTGGTGTGTATTTTATGTTCAGCTAGGGCGCTGGGCGAAGGCACACTCACCATCCTCCTGTGCCACATGAGTGAGGTGTGACTTTGGGCTTCACAGATTATTAGTTACCAGCTAATTGGCATTGGGAGAAACACAGTTAAAGGAGATAAAAATGGAAAGACTGTTTAAATAAGAAGTGGTGAGAAAAGAAATAATTGTCTGCTTCCGAGAGTTCAAGGAATTTTCTAACCTCAGAATAGGAAGATGATAGTTAACTGTATTAAGTGGATAACTAATGAGATTAGGCAACAAGGGACGTATTTGAGGTTAAATGGACATGAACTATGACAGTGAAGCCCATTACATTAAATAAGCAGCCATGGACTGAGTGGGATACAGCCATGGCACCGCTGGTTGTCACTCAGATCCAGACCTGGACAGAGGGGGATACAACCATGGCACCGCTAGGGGTCACTCAGATCCAGTTTTATTTTGGTGGAGGGATTGTTGTGGTCTGGCAGATTAAACTGGGGAAGGAGGAAAGCGAAGAAGACAGCTGCATTCCAGGACCGTGCGAGGAGGCCTGCTGGTGACAGTGGGCGGGTACCTGAGCTCACAAATGTGCTCTTTGGAATTCAGAGCCACCTAACAGGCTGCTGAGCTAAGGCGGGGGAGCAAACGGGGGCAAAGGAGGGCAAGTTCTCAGCCGTAACCCAGCACCTGGCAGGAATGAGTCAGGGGGCCAGGGGCCCAGGGCCATAGTGGCAGGGGACACCAAGGTCAACTAGCATAACAACACAGTCCACAAAGACAATGTTCTGCATCCCACTTTGGTGAATAATGACTGGGGCCTTAAAAGCTTGTGGGCAACCACCTAAAATGCAGCTAAGATCCATCCCCACTTGGAGCAAAAAAGAGTGAAGAAAATGAAAGCTGCATGGAAACAATTAGTCCAAAGGACTAAGGGACCGTGCAAATCCTAATCTCCATGATCCTGGAACAACAGCCAGATAGTGCCTGGCTACCGTCCTAAATGATCTGAAAGGGATCACTACAGGAGATCCTGGATAGAGTGGGAGGAAAAGGTGGACCAAAAGGCAAAATAATAAAAAGACCAGGCCCGAGACTGGCCCTCAGACACCCTTCAAGCCTGGAACCGAATGCCCCCCTGGCATCACTTTGCAGCCAAACAATAGACCAATCTACAACGGGAACAACGACACCATGAGAAAAGTGCTCCTCAGAGCACTCAACCAAAGGAGACCCAATGGGGTCCGGAGGCAGGAAGGCAGGCAAGAGGGACAGTGCAAACAAGGAGCCTGGGAGGACCTGGGATGAGTGTTGAACGTTGAGGGATTGCAACCAATGGCACATATCAAAATGTGTCTAAATATTTGAATGGAAAGCAAAGTTCCTTGGTAAACTTTGACCCAAAGCACAACAAACAGTACATAATGCCATCCCGGCAGGCCCTGAGACGAGACGCTGTGTGGCCACTAAGACAGCCAGGCAGTGCCACGGGGAATTAGACACCAGGCCACCAGGTGCAGAGGCTCCAAGATGAAATCCTAAAGCATCTTTTTTGGCTTTTGGAACCTTGTTTGTTTTTAAAGTTTCTTTTGTTGTTGAGAATACACAGCAAAACATACAGCATCTCGCCCGTTTCTCTGTGCACAGTGCCACGACTCCATTTTTCCCTGTGTGCTCAGTTGTTGATGCAACCACTGTTATTCTATCCTCTCTGTCCCAC